AGCGAGGGAAGCAGGCGAGATTAACAAGAGCTTGCTGACACTTGGTCGAACTATAAATGCTTTGGTTGAGCATTCTGGTCATGTGCCTTACAGGTATATGTATCTCAATAACACTGTTATGCATCTCCATAACACTGTTATGTACTACTATAGCCAGACATATTACAGATGACTAAGAAAATCCTGACCTCTCTCAGGGACAGCAAATTGACGAGGTTGCTAAGAGATTCACTAGGAGGGAAAACAAAGACCTGTATCATTGCTACAATATCACCTTCAATCCATTGCTTGGAAGAGACTCTCAGCACTCTGGATTATGCTCACCGTGCCAAAAACATAAAGAACAAGCCAGAGGTTAGTGGCTTTTGTAATATATTTGAAGCCTACTCATGATTAACCCTGCTATGCTTACAAGTCTACCAGATCATATGTACAAGTTTTTATCTACTAATTGGTTTATTATTGTTACAGATCAATCAGAAGATGATGAAATCTGCAGTAATCAAGGATTTATATTTAGAAATTGATCGATTAAAGCAAGGTTGGCAGCAACCCCCCACCCCCTTCTCTCTCTCTCTCTCTCTCTCTCTCTCTCTCCTGTGTGTGAGTGCATGTGTGTTTGTGTGTGGCGAATATAGTTTCTGGTCATTGAATAGTTAAAAGAAAATGTTTATAGATATTGTGCCGTTGCCTTACGCCAACAATATGTTTTTTAGAGGTTTATGCAGCAAGAGAGAAAAATGGGATCTATATACCAAAAGATCGTTATCTCCAAGACGAGGCAGAGAAAAAGGTCTGGTCTGTTAAGTTTATTGATTTGCAGTAGTACTTCAAGAATCTTAGAGGGATAACCAGCTAATTTACATGTTTCTCATTTTACAACTGTCCAGGCCATGTCGGAGAAGATAGAGCGAATGGAGCTTGATTTTGATTCCAGGGACAAGGTAAATAAAATTCATAATGGATCTTTTAAACCAATGCAGTTATGAAAGAGTTCACTGAAATTCGTGCGTCATGAGCAGCAATTAGCAGAACTCCAGGGTCTGTATAATTCTCAGCAGCAGCTGATTGGTGAACTAAATGACAAACTTGAAAAGAGTGAGGTAATGTTTGATTTCCATGATTGAAGAGTTGACATCTGTGTCCATATTCTTTACTTCTATGGAATTAACTAACAAGGCTTTTGGGTTGTAACTCAGAAAAAGCTTCAGGAAACTGAACATGCATTGGTTGATCTTGAAGAAAGACATAGGCAGGCAAATGCAACAATAAAGGAAAAGGAGTACTTAATATCCAATCTTCTTAAATCTGGTACTTCACTTGAAGTTAATTTTTTAGAGTTTGTTCTCTGTTTTTGCTTCCATTGAATTTATTTATATGTAACAGACTAATAACAACTTTCGCTTTTCAAGTGTATAAATTTCCACTTCTGGGATTTATCATCCTGGCTATTCATATTTCCTAGTTTAGCTAGCTATGCCATTATTATAACAAAATGTCATTATTTTCTTCCTAAAGTTCTAAGACATTTAGACTTCAGATGAAACTTTAGAATAATTTTGAGCACATAAGGGACCTCTGAAGTTGCATAGGAATAAAATATTCTCCTGTGTATCTTATGGCATGCCTTTTCTTTACCAGAAAAAGCACTTGTTGAGCGGGCACTTGAGCTTCGTGCAGAACTGGAGCACACAGCAGCTGATGTGACTAATCTCTTCTCCAAGATTGGTTTGCATCCTTAACTCAAAATGTAGTTGTGTATTTTCTGATAATTATGGAACAGCTCTCCTCTAATACAAGTAATAACATTACAGAACGCAAGGACAAAATAGAAGATGACAACAGAATTCTTATACAAAAATTCCAATCCCAGTTAACTGAGGAGCTTGAAATCTTGCATAAAACTGTGGCATCTTCAACAAGACAGCAAGAACTTCAACTGAAAGAGATGGAAGAGGACATGCATTCATTTGTATCAACAAAGACTCAGGTAGTGTACATCATCCATGCATTAAACACCTGCAGTTGTTATTTGTAAGTGCCATGTCAGAAAACCTTCTCATGCGCTTTGTAGGCTACAGAAGAGCTTCGAGGTCATCTAGAAAAATTAAAAACCATGTATGGCACTGGTATCAAGGCTTTAGATGACTTAGCAGGAGAACTTGATTGTAACTCTCAGTCAACTTTTGGCCTTCTGAACTCTGAAGTTTCGAAACACTCCTTGGCCTTAGAAGAGGTTTGAGTTCTTTGAAATTGTACTCAGGAGTTTCTGTCCATCGGAAGCTTAATTTAAATATCACTACATTGGTGGTTGATTTTTGTGCAGCACTTCAAAGAAATATCCTCAGAGGCCGAAGGTTTGCTTTGTGACCTTCAAGATAGTCTTCACAGTCAGGAGAAAAAGTTAATTGCCTATTCAGATCAGCAACGAAAGGTTGAGTTTTATTATATTTAAAAATGTAGATGTGTTTTGGTGCTTCATTTTTTTTTTTTCTATCACTAAGATCAATAATTGATTTGACATTACAATAACCAGGCTCACATGAGATCTGTTGAGACCACAAGATCAATCTCAAAAATTACTGCAAACTTCTTCATGACATTAGAGGGGCATGCCTCAAACTTGGGTCAAATTGTAGAAGAGGCACAGACAGTTAATGACCAGAAATTGTCCGAACTGGAAAAGAAATTCGAGGTAACTAAGTTTTTCCAGATAAAATACTATTCAACTGAGATGCGTTTATGGATTATTTTTTATTTTGAGAACTATTTTAATTTACCTGTAGGAGTGTGCTGCCAATGAGGAGAAACAACTACTAGCAAAAGTGGCGGAGCTGCTTGCCGATTCAAATGCCCGGAAGAAAAAACTGGTATGTCATTCAAAAAACGATTTTACTTTTCTCATTCTGCTCCTCAGTTGCCATCACATTCAAATCTGAATGTCGAATTCCTACGAATTCGATCAAAACTCACTTTCATTTGTTATATTCTCTTCCTTTTTTTGTGTTCTTGCACTAGGTTAAATGTGCAATTGACGGATTTCGGGAGGATGCCGCCAATAGAACCAACAAATTACAGCAAGAGATGTCAACTATGCAAGAAAATACTTGTTCTATCAAATCCGAATGGATAAGTTATACCAATAGCACTGAATCTCACTATCTTGAGGATACAGCTTCAGTAGAAAGTTCAAAGCAAGGCATGGAAGACATTCTTTATAAATGGTCAGCACCACGTCACTTCACTTCAGTAATACTGTTTCTTGCTTACTATATATACTTTTCATATCACAAATTGATACACTCCGAATTGGAAATAAAATATATGCAGCTTGGGACAAGCGAAATTAGGTGCAGGACAATGGAAAAATGCCCAAGAATCCCTGTTGCATCTTGAGAAGAACAATGTTGCTTCAGTCAACGAAATCGTTAGGTGAATAGCTACTCACAACATTCTTCTATATATACTTACAACATTCTTCTTTTTTATTAGATATACACTTTATTAATTTATTTATTATTTTTCTACAGGGGAGGGATGGCCACTATTGAAGCCTTACGTGGACGATTCTCATCTGCTGTGAGTTCTGCACTTGCCGATGCAGATACTGGAAGCAAGAATCTGCTCTCGTCCATTGACCGTAAAATCGCCATTTCTTTTATTTTATTTTTTTTCTTTCAATAACTGCTCAAATATGTAAAATTGTAGAAAATTAACCGAACAAAGCTCCATTTCGTAGGTTCGTTACAACTTGATCATGAGGCGTGTGATAATCTCGATTCCATGATAGTTCCATGCTGTGGAGAGTTGAGGGAATTGAATAGTGGCCACCATCACAAGACAGTAGAAATTACCGAAAGTGCCGGAAAATACCTCCTAGAAGAGTATATGGTAAAGCAAAACACTTTTCCACATTTTAGTACTAGAATTTGGACAAAACTTTTTTCTAATAGATTCAGTTTCTCATTTTTCTATAAATCCTCATTTATATCTACATTTTAGTAATAGAATTTGGACAAAACTTCTTTCTAATAGATTCAGTTTCAATTTTTTCTATCAAATCTCATTTATACATATCTCTATAATATTTTCCATAGGTCGATCAACCATCATGCTCGACACCGAGAAAAAGACAAATTAACCCTCCAAGCATTGCCTCGATTGAGGAGCTTAGGACACCATCCTTTGACGAGCTGCTCAAGTCGTTTTGGGACGCAAAATCTGCAAAGCAAGCAAATGGACACATTTGCTTGAGAGACCCCAGAGTTCCTCTCACTGCCATCAACTGAATCAAACTATTAGGAACAAAAAACTACAGTGTACAGAAAAAAGTATGGCGTGGTTTGTTTTTACTGCTATTCTAAATGAATTTATTATTTATTTTTGTATCTTTTTTTGGAGATCATTGGTAATTTTTTTGAAACACAGAATTTCAATTCTTTGAAATTTTTTAGTACCTTGTGATGTTATGTTATATATTGTTTTGTGCTGCTGTTCGAGAATTATGTTCAACTTTTGGATAATACTAATAATGAAGGCAAAATTGTGCCTAATATCACGACCTTTATCGCGATTACAAATTAATCACGACTTTTCGACTTTTGCACAGAATATCACGGCCTTCAATTTCTTGCAAAACGATACACGGCCCTCATCATTTGTTCAAAAAAATCTGACGTGGCGAACCTCAATTGCTGAGTTGTATTTACCATCCGATTTTTTTCCACCTCACCACGAGACGATGTTGTTTCGTCTGGCGTGGTAAATCGCGTTTTTTTTTTTCACCTCACCACGAAACGACGTCGTTTCTCATTCAATTACATTTTAAAATCGAAATCCCTTGCATTTCAGAACCCTAAATCTTTTCGCGTTCCTCGTGTTCCTCGATTCTCTCTGCGCTCTCAATAAAAAAATTCATCAAATCTTTCTTGTCTACCAATTTCCGGCAACCTGATTATTTTATTCTCGTTGTGGTCCCCTGACGACTTGATGCTGCAAAAATGGCGAACAGGTAGGATCGTGAATTATTTTTTTTCCTTCTGTTGTCAATAAATTAGGTTAGTTGTTTTGGAAAATGAGGGATTTTTTTTTGGGTTTAGGGTTAGGGTTAGGGTTTTGTTAATTACCCCATAAATAGGATTATATATTTGTTTAATTGTCATTTATACCAGTTTTGCATTAACCTAATTTTGTAATTATATTGTTATATATGCAGTTGTGACTTGATGCTTTTTATAAACCATTGTGGGCAGTTGGTAAAGGTTGGAAATGATTATGAGTATTATGGACCTTCAAGATATGGATTTGACAAAGATAGATTTGGTTATTTTGATTTATTAGAAGAAGTTCAAAAATTAGGGTACACTAAAGGAGAGAAACTGTATTATAGGGTTTACAACAGTAGAAAGTATGTTCACATGCACAATGATGAGGGTGTCATGGAAATGCTTTCTAGGATGGAACCTGGCAAACATTATGTTCAAGTATATGTTGATTCTGGTTCCACAAATGAAAGTAGAGGTGATGATAAGCAAAAAGGCATAGCAGATGTGCAACAAGCAGCTGATGATAATGTTTGTGAGGATAGCACAGATGAGGATTATATTGTGGAAGAAAGTTCTGAATCAGATGGTCTCAGTTTAGATGAAATAGAAAGTTGTGAATTAGATGCACTTGGTCAACTTAGTGGAGAAGAATTGGATCAGTTTATTGATAATTTTCATGAGGACAGCACAGATGAGGAGTATGTTCCAGAAGAAGAAAGTTCAGAATCAGATGGACTTAATTCCAGTGAATTAGGAACTGATGATGAAGAATACTTTGAAGCAAGGAGAAAAGAGTTGAATCCAAAAAAGTTGCAGATGAAAAAACTGAAAATTTCACATTATCTTCTGAAAAGGGGTGGGGTTCCACAAATGAAAGTGAGTTCATGTCTCTGAGGGAAGATCATTCTGATTATGCAGACTCAGCAGAAGAGGTTTGTTCTAATTCTTCAAGCTCAGGAGGGTTTAGTGGAGATGATGATGTCAGTCATAGGAAGAAGAAGCGAAATATGATAATGTATGATGCCAAGGTTGACCATAAGCAATTCAAGTTTGAACTTGGTATGAGGTTTGAGTCAGTCACTCAAATTAGGCATGCTATTCAAGAGTATTCCATATATAATGGTCACAATATCCAGATATGGAGACAAACTCCTAATCAGATTGAGGCAAAGTGTGTAGAGTCATGTCCTTGGAAGTTGTATGCTAACTGTAAAGGCAGAAGGGAGAGTAGCCATCAAAAAATTAATTTCAGATCACAAGTGCTCTACGGACATGAGAATGAGACAAGCATCTGCAAAATGGATTGCAAAGGAATACCTTCAGGCATTCAGGAGAAAACCAAAAATGAAGATTGGAGACCTTGAAGAGATGATACTTGAGAAGTATGTTGTGCAACCATCCAAGTGGAAGCTGTACAGAGGCAAGTAGAAAGCACTACAAATGTTGAGAGGCACAGAAGAGGAGCATTACTCATATCTGAGGAGTTATCTTGCTGAGATACTGAGAGTTGACAGAGAGGGTCGGTTTGAATTTCTACTTGATGAAAGTACTGTGTTCAAGGGCTTTTTTGTGGGATTTAGTGCATTAAGAAGGGGTTTTTAAGTGGGTGCAGACAATTAGTTGGTTTAGATGGAGCTTTTTTGAAGACTGTGATTGGAGGGTGTTTGTTGACTGCTGTGGGGAAGGATGCAAACAACCAGATTTATCCCATTGCATGGGCAGTGGTTGATTCTGAAAATGAGGCAAATTGGAAGTGGTTCTTGAATATTTTGTTTGAAGAGTTTGGAATCAGGGATGGACTGGGTTGGACCTTTATTAGTGACCAGCAAAAGGTAACTAAACTACCTAATATAATACATAATTTATATTTTTCATTCCTGAAATATGAAAGTTATATAACTTTTACCTTGTTCAAATGGATTGTAGGGGCTGATTAATGCAGTAAAGGATTTGGCACCATTGGCAGAGCATAGGAATTGTGCTATACACATTTATATGAACTGGAAGAAAGAACACAAGGGTCAAACACTGAAAAACATCTTCTGGAGGACTGTCCATTGCACATTCCTTGCTGCATATAAGGAATCACTTGAGGAGATGAAAGCTGAGTGTCCAGAAGCACACAACAAGTTCAATGAGCAAGACAATTTCAGATTTTGTAAGGCCTTAATCTCAGTACATCCTAAATGTGACATGGTGCTAAATAATGTATGTGAGACCTTCAATAGCACCATTGTTAGGGCTAGGAAAAAGCCTATTGTTGAAATGCTTGAAATGATAAGAACCTATGTGATGGAAAGACAAGTTGATAAACTGAATATGGGAAGTGGTCTCAGTGATACAATTTGCCCTAGGATCAGAAAAAAAACTAGAGGAAACTAAGTACAAAAATAGGTTGTGTGTCACCAAACCTGCTCTAAAAAACAAATACCAGGTCACAGAATTTGAAGACCAATTTGTTGTTGATTTGGGATATGGGATTTGCACATGTAGGCAATGGGACATAAGTGGTATACTTTGTGTCCATGCATGCTCAGCTATTCACTGGTTGAAAAAGGATGCCACAGATTTTGTATCCCTTGTATATAGTTGTGAAAGGCTCATTGCATCATACTCATTCCCCATGGAGCCCCTTAACGGGAAAGGATGTGGCCAGAGGCTTCAGGGAATCCTATCAAGCCCCCACCATTCAGAAGAATGTCAGGTAGGCCCAAGATCAATAGGAAAAAAGCACCTGAAGAAGAGGCTAAGACAAGCTCAAGGCTGAAGAGGTTTGGCTTGCAAATGACATGCCAAAGATGTTTTCAAGTTGGCCACAACAAGAAGACTTGCACCAATGACCCAGCTCCAAAACCTGCTAAGGTATATTTTGTTTTTAGGTATTATATGTTTTTATAGTATCTGAATTTGTGAACAAACATGTCAATTTCAGAGACCTAGAGGTAGGCCAAGGATGATGAGAGAAAGCACAGGGGCAGGTGGAAGTGAATCTATTGCTAAGGTAACAGTTAAAGTTTTTTTTTTCTGTTTGACATTATATGTTTTCAAATTTTTTTGAAATTTTATGAACTTGTTAATTTCAGAGGCCTAGAGGTAGACCAAAGAACATGAGAGAATGCACAGAGGAAGGGGAACAGTCTGGTGTAACTTCCCATGCCCTTGTAGCTAGGAAAAAGAAAGCATTGGTACTTTGATGCATTCATTTCTGATTAATTGTCTTTCATTTTCTATTGTCTGAAACTTTTGATAAATATGTTTGAAATTTCAATGACAAGTGCTTAGACAAAAAAGAGTTCAAAAGAAATCTCAAAACAAGGAATTGGAAGTTGTGGGAGCTACAGGAACTCAAGAAAGTGTTGCCAAAAAGTGACAGAAACATTTTGTTGTGGACATGTGGTTGTGAACATGTTCATGTGTTTCTTTTGTAGTGAAAAGGTTGTGTTGATTAATGTGTTTATGGACATGTTGATGTGAACAAATTTTTTGGGTATCAGTTTATATTTTTGTGGACATGTGGATGTGAAGAAATTCATGGTTTTGGACATGTGCTTGTGGTTGTGGTTGTTCAGACATTATGTTTGTAATTTGGCCTACTTTTGCAACATAATGGATCAAAATTGCTTCATATTGATAGTGTTTGTGTATGTTCTTATGTTTGATTGTATTATGGGATGGTCATATTCTATATGGTATTACAGATAATGCTTACTCAATAAATTAGATCACTGAACAATGATGTATAATGGATCATGATGTTTTATTCAACAAATAATGTTCATTGAACAATGAAAATCTTGCTTATTGCAAACAAAACCACACCAACTTTGAACAACCAAAATCATACATAAACTTAGCTCATTACAAATAGAACCTTGTTCTTTGGTACAAACAAACACTACATAAACTAGCTTTGTCTAGCTAAGCATACAAAGCTACAAAAGACAACAACAAAGATAGCTAAAGATTACCATCTTCTCATCAACATTGAACAACATATAAAAACAAACATAATATCCTTGTTCAAAGCTACCTAAGCATTAACTTCTTCTCATTAGACACACCAAAGAACCACATGGCTAACAAAAACATAATGACTAAAATCAGCCACTTCTTGTCGGATTTTTTTTCTATTGCAATACTTTTCTGAAGTTCAGCATTTTCCATTTTCAACAGATCCAACTCATTGACTTTCACTTCTAATCTTTCAGAAAAAAGTTTCTCCATCACCATTTTGCATTTCAATTGTTCCTCCAACACTTGAACTTGACCTTTCAACTTCAAATAACTAGCTTTCTGGAAGGGTGGGAGCTCGGGATCAAACCAACGAAAAAAATTTACAATCATCATCCTGTAATGTGCAATGAACAAGAATATTAACTCCAACAAAAACTTCAAAATTCTGTAAGAAAACATATAGGTGTTTGAATGTGCAAAAAACAGTATATCTAGCTTTGATCTCCTAACTTTCATCTCCTACAAAAAACAGGTAGTACCTCCTAGCTAACAATAAGACCCCCATTCTTGTCTGATTTCCAACATACAAACTAACGAAAAAATTTTCATCAATAAGAACCTCATTCTTGTCTGATTCCCAACATAAAACACACAAAAACAAATTACAAGCTATATTTACAAACAAATTACAAGACCTCCATCCTTATGTGAATCGTCAGAAAATACAAGCTATATTTTACACTTCACTTACCATTCGATATTTGCACCGGTAGTACCTCCTAGCTAGATTCAGATCAGTATGAGAAGTGAGAAGATCGGGCTCTTCTAAATGACGACATGTTAATTTCGGAATTGCTGAAGTCGGGAATGTTGCTGCCGAACTTGTCCTCCTATATGAGTTGGAATCAGTCGACATAGTGTTGAAGTTGTCTTCTTAACAGAGCAACCGTCCCAATTTCTTCTATTGTTCTTCCTCAAAGCATTTCTAGGGTTCTTCCTTCGCTCGTCAAATTAGGGTTCTGAAATGCAAGGGATTTCGATTTTAAAATGTAATTGAATGAGAAACGACGTCGTTTCGTGGTGAGGTGGAAAAAAAAATGCGATTTACCACGCCAGACGAAACGACGCCGTCTCGTGGTGAGGTGGAAAAAAAATCGGATGGTAAATACAACTCAGCAATTGAGGTGTATTTTTGTTCGCCACGTCAGATTTTTTTGAACAGGTGATGAGGGCCGTGTATCGTTTTGCAAGAAATTGAAAGCCGTGATATTCTGTGCAAAAGTGGAAAGGTCGTGATTAATTTGCAATCGCAATAAAGGTCGTGATATTAGGCGCAATTTTGCGAATAATGAATTATGTTTTAACGAGTACATTTGTTGGTTTTTTTTTTCTCAAAATATATTCTATTTTTTTTTTTCAAGACGATAGGAAGATCTCATATAACAAAATAAATGTTCAAGTACAATGAAGAGCAACACCCTAATGCCGAAGGAATAAACCAGAGAGCACTACTAACGCTAGTAGGCTAAATACAAGAGAACTTTTGTTGGTTCATTAGTGGCTTTTCGAGTTTTCCTATGATGAGTTTTTGACAAGGATCTGTTCAAAAAGTACTCATTATAACTTGATTTCACTCATTTTATTATCTTTACATTTGATTACCCTTTATAGAGTGGGCAAACTTGGTGACAAGAAAATTCTAGAGTTGAATGTGAACAAAATACTTGTTTTTGTTTAATTTTATAACTAGTGTATACTCCGTGCAATGCACGGGAATAATATTAAACTAACAATATTATAAATAGATCTCGAGTTTGAGTCACCATTGACGGAAGTGGAAACTACTATTGATCCTATTTAAAAAGAGGAAGAAAAAAAAAATAATTATAAATTAAAGAATAGGATAAACAATACTTAATAATTATAAATTAAAGATTCGGGGTCAAACAATGTAAAATTATTTTGTATAAGAGAATAAAAAAATTTGATTACACACCATTTCAAAATTATTATTATACTTTTTTGTATGGTTAGCTTATAATATTTGTAAAAATATTAGTAATTAGACCGATGAAAATTAACTTCTTAAAGTAGATAATGGATTTATAGTAGTAATTATGAATTGGTTTCTATTTTATTTTATTTTTTCTTTTAAAGATTATTGATTTCTAGTAGTAATTATGAATTGATTTTTATTTTATTTCTTCAAAACTGTATAGATAAGGGATGAGATTTTTTAAACACGTGGACGTATGCAATGAGATTTTCTACCAGAAGAGATAAACTCGTGTAGATTTATACTAAAAATAGGAAAAAGAAAAACAAATATTTATTGTCAAACAACGATTTTGATAAACTAAAAAACAGGAAAAAGAGAAACAAATCTTTACACAATTAATGAGCCGATTTTTTTGCCTATTCAGATTTGTTCAACAATTACTATATATAGGATATATTTAATGATTTTGGCGGGAAAAAGTTTCTAAATTTGTAAAAAGGTTATTCTTTTTATATAATGATGATATATGTTGGGGCACAATAGAGGAAATCAAAGGATCATCGCATCACGATCTAAAACAAGTACAATTATATACCAATCTATGCTTGACCTTGTATCCAATTTATTATTTATTTTAAGTTGTATCCACGTTTGGTGAAAATAAATTCATTAAAATTATATACATGATAACATGCCAACCCAATAAGATTCTCACAACTACGTGCCTCCTACTAACCTTCATCTTTCTAGTTATATACCATAAATTTAAAAGAAAATAATGATATTAGTAAGAGCAAAAAAAAATTATTTTCCACTTGCGTGTAAAAATGTATTACAATTTTTTAGCCATTCTTTTGCTCTGAGTTTGTTTGCAATGAAACCGATGACTTAACTAAAAAACAAAAATAAAATAATATAAAATAAAAAGACGAAGAAGAAGAAGAAAAATGAAATATCTATAAGATCCATGAAAGCTTGTACATTCCAAAGCCAAGAACACCACATTAGGCGAAAGAATTACGCCACATAACTGATTTAACCAACTCTCTTCATTTTTCCTCTCTTTCACCTTCCAAAGATCTCTCTTACTGGTAAAAAATGAGAGAAAACCTCATTGACATGGGATCATCCAACTGCGGCTCAGATCTTCCGAGGGACGAATCCGTAAAATGCATTCTTGAACGTATAGAAATCGACACCATGGCAAACGACTCTGACCGGAAAACGGGCCCCCGCATTGGAAGGCTCGAATCAGGCGTGGCCCGAGGCCTCAGAAGCCTCCGATTTCTCGACCGAACGACAACCGGAAAAGAAGAGGATTCGTGGAGGGCCATCGAGAAGCGTTTTCATCAGCTTTCGGTTGAAGGCAAGCTGTTCAAGGACAAATTTGGGGTCTGCATTGGTAACTTTTTTTTTTTTTTTTTGGGNAAAATATGAAAAAAAAAAATGATTTTTTTTCATGATGAAGGGTTGGGGGATAGTAAGGAGTTTGCAGAGGAGCTTTACGATGCGCTGGCAAGGCGAAGGAACGTGAGGACGGAAAACGGGATAACCGTGAACGAGGCTCGGGAGTTTTGGGAGGACATGACAAATCAAGACTTAGACACAAGGCTTCATATTTTCTTTGACATGTAAGAACCTTAAAGAATGGTTTTGTTAGAAAGTTTAAAAAGCTTTTGACATTTTTATCAGTTTGTTTTGTGAAGTTTGAGTGTGTAAAGATAATATGATTCAGTGGCTTTGTAGGTGTGACAAAAATGGTGATGGGAAGCTATCAGAGGATGAGGTTAAAGAGGTGAGCATTTATATAAGTAGCTGTTTATGAATTATAATTAAGATTATTAAACACTGTTTTCAATTTTTCTTTCTTTTTTTTTTCATTTTTTTTGTCCTGAAAACTCTGTTATTTCCTGTTTCTAAGGTTCTGGTAATGAGCGCCTCGGCGAACAAGCTCTCGAATTTCAAGCAGCAAGCCGCCACTTACGCTTCGTTAATCATGGAGGAGCTCGACCCCGACCACCAAGGATATATCGAGGTAAACGAAAAAATAAAAAAATATCACGATTTTGATTTCTTCATCTGTATATCCACACTCGTTTTTCGGTTTTATCAGATGTGGCAACTAGAAGCTCTTTTGAGAGGAATGGTCGGTTCCGAACAAGGCAAGACGATGAAATCTACTCGCAAAACCGAGTCACTCGCGAAGACTATGATTCCCAAGGAATACCGAACGCCCGTCAGCAAATTCATCTCCAAGAATACCGAGCGATTTTTCGAAAACTGGAAAAAGATATGGGTCTTGTGCCTTTGGTCCTTCGTAAACATATCCCTCTTCATCTGGAAATTCGATCAGTACAAAAAACGAGCCGCGTTTCGAGTCATGGGCTACTGCCTCTGCTCGGCAAAAGCCTCTGCCGAGACCGTCAAATTCAACATGGCACTCATCCTCTTGCCCGTCTGCAGAAGAACGCTGACGTGGCTCCGCGAGTCATTTCTCGGGACTTTTATACCCTTCGATGAGAACATCAATTTCCACAAAATCATCGCTGCTGGGATTGTGTTGGGTACTCTAGTCCACGTCGTAATGCACTGCACCTGCAACTTCGTGAGGCTCGTTTCATGTCCCCTTAATCAGTTCGACTCGATTTTCGGGCCCGCGTTCGATTTTCGCCAGCCGAGTTATTTAGATCTCGCGGGGACCACAGTTGGGGTCACGGGTATAGTGATGCTCGTTTTGATGGTTTTTTCGTTCACGCTCGCGACTCATTCGTTTCGAAGGAATGTGGTGAAGCTGAGGTGGCCGTTTTGCCACCTGGCAGGATTTAACTCGTTTTGGTACGCGCACCATTTGCTGGCTCTTGTTTATGTGCTCTTGATCGTCCATGGCTACTTCATATTCATCATCCGAGAATGGTACAAAAAGACGGTAAATAATGCAGATTTTTTACCCGTTTTTTTTTTTCGGTTGAAATTTGAAAATGTACCTTATAAAAAGAGAAAATTTGCAGACGTGGATGTACGTGGCAGTGCCGATGCTGGTCTACACAAGCGAGAGAATACTTACGCTTTACGATCATAACTATAAAGTTGGGATCATTAAGGTTATTGTCTGTTTTTGTTCGTTTTTGTCGAGTTTAATGTAATGTAAAGTCTCGTCTGGATTACATTTTGTCTGAAAATCGCAGGCTGTGATTTATACGGGAAATGTGCTAGCATTGTACATGAGTAGGCCTCCGGGATTCAAATACAAGAGCGGGATGTACCTTTTCGTCAAGTGCCCGGATATATCGAACTTCGAATGGTAATCCGAAAACAAAGAACAAAAAATCTTCTTGTAAT